ATCGGTTAAGATGGAAGGTTCCCTCACCCCTCCAACAATAGCTTACTCCAATTCAGCTACCAGGCTGGCAGTGTGGAGTAATGTTAACCGCTAATCAGCTTCCTTGCGCGTCAATAGTAAAACCATTCCCAAATTGGTATGCATTATAGCTTCTTCAGAGAGATAACTTGAAATATACTACCAATGCACGCAAAAGCTCACCCGCTCAGCCCACTAGTCACATCGAAAAATTCATCATCGTCGCCTCCAGCAACTTCATCATCTAAATAGACCTCAAAGGCAACCTATACAGAAGACAGGTAAAAATTAGATATTCCCGCCGCAAAGTCATAAAAAACCTACAGGACTGGGGCGTCCAATGGAGCGCAGCTGATCCAGATCACGTCGAATTTTATCCACCTGCTCTTGCAGATGATTGCTGTGAGTTCGACTACGGAGACGGTGGGAGGCAAATAGAACATCTGCACTGAACAGACCAACTACCGCACCCAGAGCAAAACCTGCAGCAAAGGCGGTAGAAAGGTGGGCTAAAGAAACGCCTGGGGGCTGTGTCTCGGAGGGAACGGGAGACGATGTGTTATCTCGAACAACATTGGCGAGGCGAGCAAGATTGGAAGAATCGGGATCGGACTGGCGTGAGAGGATAAAAAAGTAGCATTCAGCGTTCTGTGCTCCCACCTCGGGAGACGCATTTTGGAGTAATCGACAAGAAATCCCCATTTTATAGCAGAATCACGGAGTCAAGTGAATATAACTATCTGCCTACTGAGGCAGAGAATCAGATTTAAATTGGCGGTGAGGGGCGGGATAAAATTCATCGCGCATAGTGAATACTATTATTGTTTCGTGACAGCATGGCACTAACCTTGATCTTATTTTAAAAGGAAATTTATCATATTCGATTCCACTACAATAATGTAAAAAAGTATAAATAACAACTATCTGAGACATGAAAAAATTCCACTGTCCATGACTTCAATAATTTTAGCAAGAATCTTGTAGGTATCGTCCTTTAAATAGTCCATGGCAAAAACTAACGTCAGACTACCAAATAAAGCAATTGGAAAATAAGTAGCTATTATTCACCAATTAGTTTCAGTACTGAGGTACGATGCAATGGTGAAAATCTTCACTCTGATCTTAGAAATAAAATTAGCTACAGATTAACCATCCCAAAAGGTACAGCATGCATAATACTCCCTCTGCATAGAAAAAATTCAGATCAGAAGAGGCCAAAATTTAAAAAAATGTGTCGCAGATAATTTAGGATTCTGCAAACCACACGAAAAGAGTCTCGGCCAAAATATGAACTTGAACGAGACAAAATGCAAAAAACCTTTCATTCATATTTTTGGGTTT